ACTTATAGCATTGATAAGAATTTTACAACAAATATTCATTCATTAGATAGCTAGGCCTCGTATTTTGTTTTCCCCAACATCATGCCCCTAGTTGAACAAAATTGGCTGCCAATTTTGATTTCATTCCTTTAAGTCGCACACTCAATCCGTTTTTGGCCGCACCTTTTTGTCACACCTAGATCATTTTTAACCACACTATTATTAATTTCTGTAGAGCGACCTCTGACATTTTAAATTGCATTAACTGCCATAAGAAGAAAATATAGCTAGATACTGAAATGTACACATATACGATTTGATGTTTATTGTTTTTCTCTGATCCTTCTGTAAACACAGCATACAATACACAGTGCGCTTTATTATAAACATTGGTAATTCATCCAATCAACTCTTTTATATTGTTTCTAAAATTACTTAATTATTTGTTGCTTCTGCATTTTGATCGTTTATCTTTTTTTTCACTCCCCCTACGCCTGTTTAGTTATTTATTTTCAATTTTTTACTTTTAATGAATTTCTATAATAAATGAACATCTAATTATAGTGATTATTTACATAATCAACACTTTTACAAATGATTAAAAACGACCCTCTAAAGACATATTCTAAATATGATTGGATTTTTTATGTTTCTGTAGGACGACTTTGACTCCCTTCGACCCCTGTGTTACCCCCACACCCACGTGTTTCTCCTGTGCTTCAGTGTGGTGAGTCCCACGTCTTATGACAACGTTAGAGAACGCTGGCTTCCAGAAATCCGCCATAACTCTCCTCGAGCTACAGTGATTCTGGTCGGCACGCAGTGTGACCTGCGCTTTGATGTAAAGGTTTTACTTGAACTTGCTCAGTCCGGAGAACAACCTGTACCGGTGCACATAGCCCAACGACTCGCCCAAGATACCGGCGCCCTAGCTTACTTGGAGTGTTCCGCCTTGACGCAAGAAAATGTGAAAGAAGTGTTTGATACAGCCATCCTTGCAGGTCTCCGGAACCAAAGTCCAGATATAGTGCCTTGGGCACGTGCCAAGAGCGATAAACCTTGGCAAGGAGAGAAGACGGGGTCACCTCTCAATGTTACAATAGTTTCGACTTCGACCTATAGAAAGAATAACAAAAAATGGTGGAAAAAACTGTGTTGTTTCAGTTTTTCTGAGTGAGTGAATCTGTGATTGTGCACGTAAAAGTAATTTAATGATATTTAGAAAACACTTGGTATCCCTAAAGTAGGTAAATCACAATTAAAGAAATTCAATCTATTGCTAAAGGAAGAATCCCCTTCTAAAAATGTTCACTATGTGACTTTTAACTGGTAGTTTAATCACGTTTTTAATAGTAATATTCTCCATTTTCCGCTGTGTCAGTAGACCCACAATAACTGGACTGTAGAACAGTGAAACAAGAGATGACCCTGACTAGAACCTTGCAAAACTTTGAGTTCATAGATCAAATCAAAACCTATTTATATATTTCCCTTAATACTATGTCACTACTAAAATATAGATTCGAATCCCGTTTGAGCTCCATGATATGAAACTACGAAACCGATGAATCGCTTCATCTTATATACTATAGCTTTGTATATTAGTTAGGCTTAGATGTTAGACAACAAAAAGAAAATGTTGCGGTTCTCACGATTATTTAGATAATAAAATATAGTTTAGCTTAATATTATAACACAGCAATTAGTATAATCATAGGAAGTAAAAATGAATATGTCATGAGTTTTTGTGAAGAGAGAGAGTTGTTAATAACTGGTAACTCTCCATGTAAATAAAGGATTGAAAATTTATTTCTCTTCCTAAAGGCTCTGAAACAGTTTGTATATATTGTTCTATACAATGTTCTTTTCCTTATTCATGTTTCTTATGCTTTGTTTTTCATGTCGGATTACTGAGTCGGACAATCAACCAAGAAGAAAACATATCACATCTTTCAATTGTTTTACCAGACATAATCTGTAAAGATAAGAAGCTTGTATTATTCGCCAAGTGAGGGATTTGCCAATGTAAATAAAGATGATTTTGATCAACAACCAGAATAGAATATGAGTTCCTTAATAAATTACGCAGTGAAATTTCTTATTAGAAGAATTGTGTGTTATTTAGTTTCTTACAATTCATAAAAATAGTTCTTACAAAGTACAAACACACAGAGTTGAGTGCGTTATATTAAAATATATGTAAATCACGTGACAACCAAACCCAGTAATAAAGTCGCGGTGGAGTGGAATGTATCATAACTACATTTTGACATTTTTTGGGTTGCATAGTGTGTGATGCCACCGAAAATTGATCTCTGTTTCAAAGGTTATATAACAGACCTTTCCGACGCGAAATCTTCATATACTCAGATCATAAAAATGTGTTAAGATCGGAGATTTGAAATTTACAAGACGGGAATATATCTTGTTCTTAATTGTTGTGGGGAAAAAAGAATGTGGATCAAATTGGGGAACTAGGACCATCAAATATGAGATCTGCAATAAATCGAATCCCAGCAGTGGCAAGGTAAGTAAGGCGGCTTGTAACAAGTAAGAATCCATAAATATAAAAGTCAGTGACAAAAGTCGTCCATGAAGCTTGGCAGAGCCTGGTGGTTAGAGTGCTCAACTCGCAATCTATGGGTCGTGGTTTCGAATACCGTCACCAAAAATGCTCGCCTTTCAAGTGTGAGGGCGTTATAATGTGATGGTCAATCCCATTATCCATTGGTAATGGTTAGCCCAAAAGTTGGCGGTGGACGATATTGGCTAGCTGCTTGCCCTCTAATTTATCACTTCTAAGTTAGGAACAGCTAGTGAAGATAGCCCTCGAGTAGATTTTCGTGAAATTTACCAAACAAAAAACAATACGCAACATAATCAGGAAGGATCTCTGTTTGAAAAAAGTGACACAAGTTGCTTCCACGACATATCCTTTCAACTGTAACATACCTCAATCAGCTAGAGAATGAAACCATTATTCATTCTATTCCATAGATAGACGTATCAGTCGAGTCGCCGTACTCACCGAGTATAGATTTCTGTGTGATTGATCTGTTGAAACGGTCGTCCTCGTACACTAGACTGTTTATGAAAAGCATGCAGGGAGGAGAGGTATGCTTTAGACATGACGCTTTACGACGGAGCCTTTTGCAATGGAAATTACGCTGCAGAGCTATAGTCAATGTAAACAGTCGAGAGATAGAGCATGACCGAACGTAAAGATATGAACTGTAACGTCGTTGTGGAGCTCCAAATTGTTTTTATGTAGCGTACTCGTCCTCTGTTGATAACCTAGCTAAAATTAAACCGCCGATTTTTTAAAACTCGGCCTTTAAAACGACTCTGTGACAAACTTCATTTATCCTTTTTATCAATGTCTGTTCCAACTAGATCTAATAGTATAAACGGTATTATCAGTGTCTGTTCTTATTAAGTCGTCAAGAAATTAATGTCGCTTTTTTTAGATGAAAAAACCCGAACAACTTATATATCAAAACAAAACATTTATTAAATGAAATAATCTCCATTCTTATCGATTATGCTTTTCCATATTATAATCAGATTGTTAATGACCTAATTAAAGAAATCACTTGGCTTTGAAGCAAACAACATGTCGATGTCCTCTTTAACACCTTCTACATTTGCATACGTTTTCCCATTAAGATGGTGTTGCAGCGAACGAAAAATGCGGTAATCTGATGGTACCATATCTGGAGAATATGGTGGGTGGGGGAGAACATCCCAACCCAACATCATAATCTTGGGTTGCGTCAAACGTGCCACATGTGGGCGTGCATTGTTGTGGAGAAGAATAACATCTTTCCGATTGACGAGTGAAGGGCGTTTCTGATGAATTGATTTAAACGTCCCAGTTGCTGACTATAGATCTCTGCATTGACAGTTCGCTGTGGATTGAGAAATTCGAAATGAATTAATCCTTTGATTGATTGGTTAATGAAAGTGTTCCAAAACGTAACATTAATTTCTTGACAACCTAATACTAGGTACAATAGTATAAACAGTGCTATCAGTGTCTATTTAACTAGGTGTAATTGTACAAACAGTGCTATCAGTATCTCTTCTAACTATATGTAGTAGTATAAACGTTACTATCAGTGTCTGTTCTAACTAGGTGTAATTGTACAAACGGTACTATCAGTGTCTGTTCTAACTAGGTGTAATTGTACAAACGGTACTATCAGTGTCTGTTCTAACTAGATGTAACAGTACAAACGGTACTATAAGTGTCTGTTTAACCAGGATTAATAGTACAAATGGTATTATAAGTGTCTGTTTAACTAGGTGTAATAGTACAAAAGTACTATAAGTGTCTGTTTAACTAGATGTAACAGTACAAACGGTAGTATAAGTGTCTGTTTAACTAGATGTAACAGTACATACGGTACTATAAGTGTCTATTTAATTAGGTATAATAGTATAAACGGTATTATAAGTGTCTGTTTAACTAGGTGTAATAGTACAAAAGTACTATAAGTGTCTGTTTAACTAGATGTAACAGTACAAACGGTACTATTAGTGTCTGTTTAACTAGGTGTAATAGTACAAACAGTGTTATAAGTGTCTGTTTAACTAGGTGTAATAGGCCACATAAATGCTGGGACAAAACTAACTATAAAGCTACTTCATTTAGAACATACGCTGATTTCTGACAATTACTCTGATATGTAATTACTCTGATAATAGTACAAAAGTACTATAAGTGTCTGTTTAACTAGATGTAACAGTACAAACGGTACTATAAGTGTCTATATAATTAGGTATAATAGTACAAACAGTGTTAGAACATACGCTGATTTCTGACAATTACTCTGATATGTACGATAAGTAAATTGGTTCCATATCAATTTCTTTTGTACCAACCACATAGTTCGAACTGTACTAAACGTATAGTATTAGTATCAACTGTATGGTACCAACTGCACCAACCGTATAGTACCAACTGTACCAACCGTATAGTAACAGCTGTATAGTACCAACTGCATCAACCGTATATTATTAACTGGTGTGTACCATATGTACCAACCGTATAGTACCAACTGTATCCACTGCATGTACCAACTGTCCCAACCATATAGTATCAACTGTACCAATCGCATGGTACCAACCATATAGTATCAACTGTACCAACCGCATAGTACCAACTGTACCAATCGCATATTATCAAATGTACCAACCGTATAGTACCAGACGTACCAACATATATTGACTTTAACTCTTCCCTGTATTTAACACCTATATATTTGGTTAATCATTTGACTTTATAATATCGCCAAGACTAGACCTCTGGCCGGAGGATATATTGAAAGATGTAAAGAACGCTCCATAGGCGAGGAAAAAAACTCACACTGCGTTTATTACAGCAATTGGCTCCGAAACTAAACTTTAAATGAATCCGAAGCAGCTCTTCTCATCTATAAAGTGAAGGAGAATTCTCTGCCAATAAAAACAGAACTTTTCATTGAAGCTGGGCATATCTCCTGGTACCGTTAACACAACAATAATCAGGGATTAGAAATTGTCACAGGCTCACAACATCCATGATAACATCATAGGAAAGATGGCCGCAGAAAGTGAAATCACGGCTATTCCATTTGAACAATTAGCTGTCAAGTCTCCCAATGAAGATCCAAACGACTTTTGTCTGTTTCAATACAGTCTTGGATGGCATCGTATATGTAACAGTGAAGGGTCTGTGGAACATTTGTGAAGATGTATGATCTGAAATTGACCCCGCCATCCTTCACAGAAGCTTCTTACTATGGAGATTTTGGCGTCAGTCATTAGATTAAACACGATACACGATAACGGAATTAGTTCCAAGTGTAACACTGAATATGGAACGTCGTTCTCATAAAATACTATTAACCTTAATACAAGTTTTAAAAAAAAAAGTTCTTTTTTTTTCTCTCTCTCTTCTAGCTTTTAGCAACAGCTATTGTTTATTTATTCTTGACGACGTACAACATGCCCTGTTTTAGCAGAAAGTACAGGAAATGATCGTGATTAGCATAAATATAAGACCAACAGGTCATTCTACCAAACCAGTCACAAAAACTTGTTTTATTACTTTTGAGGTGCACTGACAGAAGAGTTCTGTGTTCTAGTTCAGTTTGTTTTTCTTCTATATGTATAAGGATTTGGTAAAAATCCCTCTGGAATGTGACTCCCCCATTGTCGTCTAGACTCTAGTTCTTTGTCTCCGGTGCTTTAAATTTTGTTTTATGTTTATATGCTACTTTATATGGAAACGCTGTTTTGTGTCTGTGTTTACATACTGTTTTGTATCTACGTACTGTTTCTGTCTATATGCTTTTCTGTATCTAATGGTGTTTATGTCCTGTTCTGTTGATATCTATATTTTATTTTAGATTTATAGGGTGTTTTATGTGTATATTTTGTTAACATATTCATGGTATTTTATGTCTATATTCTGTTTTATATCTATACGCTGTTCTGGGTCTATATTCTGTTTTATATCTATATGCTGTTTATAGCTATATTCTGTTTATACCTACATACTTTTTATTTCTATATCCTGTTTTATATCTACATGCTGTTTTATGTCTGTATTGTGTTTTATATCTAACGCTGTTCATGCCTATATGCTGTTTATATCTGCACGCTGTTTTATATATATATGCTGTTTATATCTGCATTATGTTTTATATATATATTCTGCTTTATCTCTGTATGCTGTTTATATCTACATGGTGGTTTATGTCTCTGTATTATTTATATCTATGCACTGTTTTATGTTTATATGTTGGTTCACCAGATCACTATTTTAGGAAGATACCATGTTATTTTGCAGACACTTCAAATACGAAACAAACAAATTTTAATTTTTGAAGTAGGTTTGACTCTTTCACACATAGAATGATCTGGCTGTTTATCCAAGGGTTCATGGTTCCTGTTCAATTTCCGCAAGAAGATAGATGTTATAACAAGAAGAATACATTTTAAAACTAAGTTTTACTTGGAGGGTAGTGACTCTTTCACACATAGAATGATCTGGCTGTTTATCCAAG